TGCTAAAAGTAAAGCTTGATAAAAGATATGTTGTGTTGTTTGCGAAAGGTCCTTTCTTCGTTGGAAATCCTTGAGTATTTATAGAGCAGCTTGATAACTGTTGACTGCACTTCTCCTTGAAAGTCGTTTTCCACTTCCTTACGTTTTGCGTTTTAACCGCTTCTTGACTTATCGATGTTGCTTACGTGTAACGTCCTGAATTCGCCCACTTCCGGGATTAATAAAATAGATGATTATTTCTCATTTCGTTTTAGTGAGTCTCGCCCGGAACTGATCATTCTCGGGATATGACCATTAGGGAATGGCTAATTAGGAAAACGGTGCGTCGACCCAAGAACTTGACCGTGAATCGAGTCCGATTCCGAGAAGCGACGAGGGAATATTTTGTGCCAAGGTGGGCCGATCTAAGGAGAGTGACGGGTTCAGTTTGGTCAGTGACGTACAATCGGATCGCGGGTGATTCCGCGCAACCGAGAGTGCGCATGGCGGACGATCCCGAACTTATTCCGAACGATTGCGACCCTCGGAACTAGCGATAAACCCTCGCGTTCTTTGGGAGATCGACATCCTCGCGACTCGAGTAGCCTAGGTCAATACGCGTAACCCCTAAACAGCCTCCCGTTAATGAGAGACGCTAAAACTGCAAATTGAGCAAAATCGATCGTGAAATTGAGTCCGGACTTCGGTGTCGAATTTCGTGGGCGTGCGCAACTATTTTGGAAGGACGAAGTCATTTTTATGTGGCCACTCATATTTGGGATCAATAGAGTCAAAAATTGGAAATTTGACCCGGGACCGGAAAATTACCGTTTTGCCCTCGTGCCCTAGTCTTGTATTCCGAATTTTGGGGTTAATTGGAGATTATTTTAAGGTTTTATATTGAAGTGTATCAGCCCAATAATGCTAGAATTGAGGACCATAATGCCCCCAAGATATTTAGCAAGTTTTAATCCAAGCCCTTGGATTAGGGGCAAGTTGGTCATTTTTGGGATAGTGGTTCAACCACCCCACTAAGCAATTTGATAAACACTCTAGCCTCTCTCTCTCCTCGTCATTTTCCACCATCACCACCGGTCATCCTCTTCTCTCTCCCTCTCCCGTGATCTCTCTCCCTCTCGATCGCCGAAGTGCCGCCGCCGCCGCCCGCCGGTGCCACCGCCGTGTGCCGCCATCCCCCTCGCCTCACCACCACCATCCAGCCATCCCGTCCTCTCCTTCTCCCTTCCCCAGCCGCGTGAGGACCAGCCCCCGCCTAGGATCGCCGTCCGCGAGCCGCCGCCGGTGCCGCCGCCGAGAAGGCCGCCCGTCGTCGCCGCTTGCCCCGCCGCTGCTCAGCCGCCCTTGCCGCCCATCCAGCCTTCATTAGGAGCCTAGGAATTCAAGTGAGTACAACCCTAAACCCTATTTAGGCTAATTTACATTTCTAGATGTATTTTAGGGGTTAATTAGGGTATTTTAGGGGTTAAATTATGGAGATTGTTAGGGGCTGATATGGTGGCTGATTTCGCAGCTTAGTGTGATAATTTAATTGAGGTTTAGCGGCTTAGAATGTGCCGGGTGGTGGCTGGAAAGGTTGGATTGAATCGGCCCAAATTTGGGTTAAGTTCGGGTTCAATTGTGGAATATTGTGCGCGCCTAGTAATGGTCCTCATGGTGGCTGATTTGGGTGATGTTTTGGGGAGCCTAATAGAGTATTTTGAGGATATTTATTGACCTTGAGTGACCTGTTTGGTGGCTGTCCATACCGGGATTGAATTGGACAAGGCGCGATCAATTTGGGGTTTAATGGTGTAATTACCGGAAATATTTGGATTAACTGATTGGGTGGCTGAATTGTCATTGGTTGTGATCAATTTTGTGATGCCATGTCATATGCTTAGTGTGACCAAGAATGGAGTAGCATGGCAGGCCTCGAGTGCGCGAGTTCATGTGAATCTAATTGTGTGATTTATACATGTGAATTATGTACCATGCAAGAGTGCTTTGAATTGCTTACATGGACATGCTGATATGTTGGTTGGGCACATTGAAATGTGGATTGAACATGTCGTGGCGTTGTTTTGAATAATTAGCCAAATCATGTTGAGTGCCCAATGTGAATTCCATGAATACTCAAGGGTGAACGTTATGGCCATGAGTGTGCATCTCTAACATTGGCATAACATGTGCATATGCGGGTGTGCACGAATGACATGAGCATGTGATCACCTAAAATGCCCTGATGCGTTTTACGCGGGGTTCAGATAATAATTGGTGATTGTGAATGTGTGATCACATAAAGCCCTGATGCGTTTTACGCGGGGTATTGAACCCGTCCTGATGCGTGTTACGCGGGATGATACCCGGACTACCGGAAGATGACCAACCTGATGCGTTTTATGCAGGTTTTGTGTCATGAGCCTGATGCGTTTTACGTGGGCCGGAGATCGATCTCAAAGTGATGGACCTGATGCGTTTTACGCGGGTCGGTGAACTTGGTAATTGCAAGTGTGCAAGAGTACAAGCGTGCGAAAGTGCATCGATGAGACATAAGCACGCGTATGAGCACGAGCATATGCATGACATGCGTTGTGACCAAGTGATGCGTGCATGTGTCGCGATTGGGTTCTGTGTTATTATTGTGATCTATAAGTGCCTAACCTGCAGGGCCAAGGTAAGTTTTGGATTTGGGCCCGAGGGCCTAAGTCATTCATAATCCGGGTTGTGTGCTGTTTAGTACTCGTCAGGAGGTGCATATTAGCCTAGCTTAGGTTTAGGGAACCTACTCGCTGAGATTTATTCTCACTGTTGCTTAAACCAATCCTTTCAGACCCCCGGCCTTGAGATGTCCGCAGTGCCTACTCGTTTTGGGATCCCTTACCGGATAGACCGAGAGGAGACGGTGTACCCCGCAGGGAACGTGGATTTTTGGGTTAGATATCTTTCTATAGTTTGGGTCGATGCGGGCGAGGAGCTTGACCAGGCCCATAGATATATAGCATGGTGTATCAGGGACCAGGTAGGGACTTACGGGCCTTTTCGATCTTTTGAGGTTCCGCTCAGCGATTCAAGGGATGTTGACTCTCAATGTCCGGACGGGGACTTGGCGAGCCCTGACCGTGCACCGGAGGATGGGGATTCAGACCCGGAGCTGATGGATTCGGAGGGTGAGGAACCAGAGCCCATGGAGCAGGACATGGAGCAGGAGGACGAGGCTGAGCCGATGGATTCCGAGGAGGAGTCAGCTGGGGTCGAGTTCGAGCAGGATTCCCTAGACTCTGAGGTTGAGCTGTCTGATAGCTCTTCTGAGTCATCGGGATCCGACTCAGACTGGATTCCGTAGGTCTAGCCTTAGCCCTAGATAGATCGGGCCAGTACCTTTTTGACCGGAGCCCCTTCTAATTTTAGTAACCCTAACCGCCCGGGCCACTTACCCCTTTTAGTTAGTAGTGGCCATTGACCCGCTTTTGATTTTTGATGTTCATGCTGTATATGAATAGTGTATATGTTCTTCCTATCAATGCAAGTGTATATTTGTTATTGTCGATTGTGGTGCGGCTATCCTTGGTTATGCAATTTTAAATTGTTCGGGTGTTTAGTTATTTCTGCTGTGCTTTGTTCTCTGTCGATTTGGGCGTTGGGTCGGCGACGCGTCCTGGGACGTCGCACATGAATTGACCGTGGTAGGGATGTGGCGTGCCGTAGGGTGCGGGGCGTGACATTACGCTCCTTGGGCATCACGTAGTAGCTAATTTTCTTCCACGTGTCTCTTTATTTCTTCCTTGATCTTCACGCCCACAGTCATATCTTTACCTTTTGACACGTGTAAATGAATTTTCCGTCACGTATTACCATGATTCCGTGCAAAGCTAGTGATCTTGGATTCGTCGACGTCACGTGCAAAGCTCGTGATCTTGGATTCGTCGACATCACGTGCAAAGCTTGTGGTCTTGGATTTGTCGACGTCACGTGTAAAGCTCGTGATTTTGGATTCGTCGACGTCACGTACAAGGCTCGTGATCTTGAACTTGTTGATGTCACGTGCAAGGCTCGTGATTTTGAACTTGTCGACACCTCTATAACGTGTCTTATCGACAATTACCTTAGGTCTTCTTAATGCCTCTAGGCTTGACTTGCGGCCTTTTTGGATTTTCGCTATGTGGGCCGTACTTTATATCTTTTGTAACTTGTAAACGGCCCACTTCCACCAGAAATAATTTTGGGTGTCAACAGATAGAATAGTGTGCTATGGATATATCATGTGTCGAACAATCATTGGCTCCATTTTCCTCCATCAACCTATATTTCGTTAAAGGAAATATGAAAGGGTGTTAGTTAAATGTTCTCTAGGACTAGAACTTGAAAAATTCATTTCTGAAGTTATACACAAACTTTGTCATTTACTACTTTTTTTTTACCATAAACTATTAACTAAAAATGAAATAAAGTTAGAAAACACAGCGGCATAATTAACTTACATAGCAAATTACCATATATAAAAGGTAATTTACATAAGAAATTTACTTATTATGTAGCCAAGAAAAACTTCATTAATTAATCGTTTTTAGATGGGCATTAATTGATATGGCTAGATCACATGGTAAAACATAATTTCAAATTGCTCTCTTTAAATCAGTTATCATGAGGATGGTATAACATCAAAACCAAACATTACAAAAGTTAAACTAAGAAAGAAAGATTTTGCACCATATAGTCTATAGCTTGGTGTAAATAATCAGTATTTGGCATTGATTGGATACTAGCAATACCAAAACAAGGAAAATGTTGCATATGTCATTGACTTGAATAATCAGTGTAGGTGGCTACTGTACTTTTGGGAATGATTTCTGTCACATGAGACTTGTATGTTAATGCAAGCAAGGATTATTGGATCTATACTCACTTATACACCTCCGGTTTGAAGTGGAATTCGCTAGAATTACTTACTAACTCAAATTGAATTTTCTATTTGGAAACGGATAACAAACTCGGTACTTTCTAATGCTCTATCTTTATAACAGAAGTTTCGTGGCTACCCTGGTTACTTAATTACTCTCCCAGCAGGAGAGTTGCCAGAGTGGGTCCTCCCTGTTGAAGAGGATTCCGTATCTTTTATGGCTTCAGAGGACTTGTATGACAAGTTTTTTGGATTTGCTCTTTATATCGCTCTCGGTAATGGTGAACAGACAGAGGGACACCCTTTTATGCTTCAACCACGTGTTAATGGTGATCCTCGGAGTTACCTTGTACCTTATTTCGAACGCTTTGGGTCGGAATCGGATCGTATTTGGCTTGAGTATTTTGAACCATTTGAGCTGTGGCAAGAAGTCGATTTTGGTCAAATTGATGGGAGTTATGCACAATTTAGCATAGCACTCTCGGGTAAAAAAGTGAAAAAGTAGGGATTCCGAATAATATGCAAGTCACTAGAGGACGATTTAAAGGTTATTCTCCGAGACAATCAGCTAATGGATCCAGCTTTACTCTATGAAATTGTTCTTGAATCAACAAATTTAGAAGCCGAGATTTCACTTGTGCACAAAGATAGTTCTAGCGAAGCAGATCTAAACTATACATATTTGGAATATCGTCTTAGGAGTGCTAAGGAACAAAGTCAAATAGAATTAAAGAGAAATAATCAGGTATTCCCCTCCGAGGCTTTCTTTGGGTATTATACCCAAGTATTATATATATTTTGTTTTCCTTTTTAGCGAAGGCAACCAAAAATTCTAAACTATGCTCACCATAACATATTTACCCTATACTTTTTTTTCGGGACACTAAAAATCTCAAACTTGTATTTATATGACACATTTATCCTCCATCAAAGTTCAGTTAATGTGAACCATTAAAAATTTACCTACATGGATGCCAGAAAGCAAACAATGCTAACATGGCGCCCAAGTGGTTTAAGTAAAAAAAAAAACGGTGTTATTTTGATTGAAAAATCATTTAACGGAACCTCGACGGAGGGTAAATGTGTTACATAAATAAAAGTTTAGGGTTTTTTATGTCATAAGAATAAGTTTGGGGTAAAAATGTTATGGTGGACATAGTTTTAGATTTTTGATGTCACAAAAAATAGTGTAGGGTAAATGTGTAGGCATAGTTTTGGTTTTTTTATGGCTTTTTTTTTTCTCTAAATCCTCTTTTCTCCGCCGTAGGAGGTCTTCGAGCCCCCCCGATTCCACCCGGGAGCTGTGAGTTTGACTAATTTAAGATCGCCACCTGCCTACAGAGACGATAAGTTCACCTGCATTATACGACATCATTGAGGCCGGTGAGGGAGCAAACGGACTACCGCCGCCATCCGAAGCCGTGGAAACCGATGACGTAGCTTCTGGTGAGCGATTCTCTCCTGAGGTTGGTTCTGGGCTTCATGCAGCTTGCGATGGATCAGGCAACGCTTGGCACATCGGAAGTGTATTAAGTTTATTTGTAATACTTGTGATGGATTTTGAATTCGATTCGTTTGGTTGCTACAAGTGCGTGGGAACTTGAAGAATGTGTCGTCGAATGTGTCCGAGAGACGTTGATTGAGTGTTTCTTAGTAAGTTTAGCCTGTGGATGCTTGGTAGTGAATTCACTGGCAATCGATGTTACACGCTGCGAAATCAGCAACGATCTCTAGAAGGCATAGCCTTTCTTTCTTTCTTTTGATAGGTAGCACCGCATTCAAAGAAGTAGGTGAAGTCTAGGTTTAATGGAAAAACAAGCAAGGGAGAGTGAAACAATGGGAAGTAGGGTGTACATGGGTTGGTTCAGTCCACTTTTCAGGCGAAGAACTGAGCTAATCCGGGTGCTATAGGTTGGGAATTCCCTTACCCAAAACTAGGCAATGGAGTGGACAACCATCTAGAGAGAGAGAGAGAGAGAGAGAGAGAGAGAGAGAGAGGGGGTTTGGGTGCTTATTGAATTGTGAGGAGCTTTGATCACTGGGATAGGACTCTGTCACTAAGTTTTATGAGGTGCTTGAAGAGGCAAAACCATAAGGAATGAAGAAGTGAGATGGCAGTCACCGGGAAAGGTTGCTTGGAAGTCGAGTCCTTTTACCATTTGTTTACTTTGGCAACTAGGGAGAATTGAAAAGTCAATTTACTTGGAGCTTGAGAGTAATATGAACATCGGTTGTGCCCATGGATAACTCATCAGGTGGTTATTTTCTTTTGCCCTGTGGACTGCGGATATGAAAAAGAAACAAATCACAAGAAACACGGCGTTTACTTAAGTTATTCAGTGGAATAGAGTCAAAAGCACAAGAAGCTGATTGTCGATTCTGATTTCTGAGGCCTTCGCAACAGCTTAGGATTCTCTTTTTATTTTTTATGTGCCATAGCTTTATGAAGGAAATTGATTGAGAAGCTAAAACTCCTGGATGCTTCTTGAATGTTTGAGTAAAACCTGATTAATGAAAGATAAGCTTCCGAGGTACCAATATTAAGACGTACTGGAATGAGCAACATGTAGTTTCTTAAATTAGTGGCTTTTTTGCTTTACAGTTGTTAGAGCCATATCAGTTTAAGTGTTAGTGGGATTTGCATCTGAATTACAGGATTAGTATGTATTAATAATCATTATTTGGAAGTTTGTGACCAGTGTATTATACAGGACCTGCAAGATCTTGATCATATAGCTATGGGACATGGATTCATTCAATTAGTAGCTGCATGTTGATACTAAAATAGTTCTACTGCTGGCAACTTGATGCTGATTTCCCCTTAAATTCCCTGTATGCACGTATGAGAGAAATTCTGAATCTTATGTGCTTATTTTTTTTTCTCCTTTTCTTATATAAGGCAAAGCTTGCCTTGGATAGCCTTGAAGTCCTAGTTGGGTAAGAAACTGATTTTCAGCAACCAAGTGCATGTCAGTGTTACTATATTTTATAAGTAAGTTGATTAGTATTTTCAGTCTTAATTAGTAAATGTTTTCACATTGTACTTTATTTTATAAAGTAAGTTGATTGAACAGCTGTGTGATTGTTGAGGAAGGGAACCTTATTGCGACAGGAAGAAACAGGACTAATGAGACACGGACTGTATGTCTACCATTGCTTCTCCACCCCTTTCTATAATTTTTGGCCAACAGCACTTTGTTGTTGTTCTGAATTGATACCCTCACAATTTCCACTCGTTATTGTTGATCTTTTTTGTGTTTCTGCCTTAAATATTTCTTTAATATATGATAAAATAGTATATCAAAACAAATCTGTTAAAAAGTGCAATTTTCTATGCATTGTTAGGCTGTAAATGGTCTTGTTCCCATTATTCTTTCATAAAATATGACTACAGCTAACAAATATACAGTGCTTCACGTTTCTCGTTTGCCATTGTGCTCTGTCTGAATTTCAGACCAATAACAGTCAAAGAAAAAGCTTTAATGAGGAGAGAGAGAGAGAATAGAGGAATAATATTTATTTATTTTTTGGATAGAAATAAAGCTGTTGCAAGCTGCTGAACCAGAATGTTGAGTGCTCATAGATTGTGCTGTATTGCATGCTTGAATATGTTAACGAGTACTTGACAGCGAGTTGTTATGGTGGCTTCACCTCTCTTGATTAAAATGGTATAGTGAGAGATGCAAAATTCTAAAGTTTTGGGAAGCGAGCTAAGAGACTTTGCAAAATCTCAAGTATAGGGAGGATAACTGCAATTTCACATAAAATTTGAAGAATGTAATGCTTGAGTACTAGAAATTAGATCGAATACCTAATAGTGAGGAGCAAAGAGAGTTGTCCATGCTTCACGCATAAGATCCTCTTGTAGACTCTCAGTGTTGTGGGTATTTGAAGAAAGATATGAAATTTCCAGATAAGGTGTATTGATGATTCTGTCTTAAAGACAGTGATTCTTCCAATAGGATTCATGATCTAATGTTGTTGGCTTTGACGAGAATCCTGTCCCTAGAATACAATGTATGCACTCTAATCTCCCTCACTTAGTCTGCCTAGCAAAGGATGAACACGATCAAGCCTTACAAGTATAGTCAACATGGAGCAGATATGGAAGGGGCGATTTTAAGAGGAAATAGATTTGGACTCAAACATTAAGCAACAGTAAAAATAAAAAAGCCTGAAGAAGAAAACTTTTTTCAGGAAATGCATTTTCTAAATTTATGTTGAAACTACACTAAGAGCAACTTTCTCTCTGACAAAGCTCCTAAGTTTGTTATGCTTTCTTTATTTTTCTTCTTGCGCATTCCTAGGTAACAAAACATGTGGAAATGGAAGCTCTTGATGTTCTTTTTGAACAGTGGCGGACGATTGGATTTTCGTCTGCAGAAGTAGCAGAGAAGTTTTCAGCATGATCTCTTTATGTGACACGTGAACTATGCATAATGTGAGCTGCAGCATGATCGATCATTGGTACATCTGTTGATCATACCGAAATAAAACTAAACTTTCATAAAATTTGATTATTCATAAATGATTAGATGACTCTTAGCCATTTTTAGGTATAAAGGAAGTATATTATGGCTGTGCAAATGATAAATTTGGAGGCTGTGGCTCAATACTGTCGATGCATTTGAGTAGCTTCGAGGCGTGCATTAGGTCAGTTTCTGAACTTGATTTTGTTGCTGATTCCGTATTTACTTAGCTCCCCTTTGAAATTGTGACATATGACAATTGACAACTAAAGCTTACCGGAGGTTTATGTCTTCTTATGTTGATTATTGATGGGTGTAATTTCGTTGTAATTCTGTTTGTTGTCGCACTTTGAATATTGCTACATATAACCATGAAAATAAATGGAGGTCTATGGAACTAATTTTTCACTGCAGCGAGATTCTTTGATGTCTTTAGTGATATCAAGTTTAAAACAGAAAATATAGCATCTTCAAACTATGAGGAAATAATGGTTTTTGATATGCCATGGGCAGTGTACTCGTTAAAGAAATCTCTTTTCTTGTTTATTAGTTTCAATTGTCTCTTCTTGCATACATGAGGGCATGTGCTTACTAAATTGTGGTGAATGGCATGGGTTTCTCATATGATTTTTCATCTGTCTGATGCTGCCATGATCTAACATTTCATGTTTCCTAAGCTTGTCCGGAACTCATCAATTTTTACTCAGACTTTGTTGACTTAAAAGTTAAACGTAGTGAAATAGGATCTGTCTCGTTGTGATTTGAGCAGTGCAGACAATTTCTTTTTGTTGAATTATTAGTTTTGAAAGAAGATGCTCAAGTTCCATGCCTGCGGGGGGGTGGGGGGTGGTGGGGGTTGGGAAAGCCATGAAAACTCTGACTTTTAGAGCTAGAAATTGATACTTATGCTGCTCTTAATATTATGATTATAAGTCAAAAGTATTGTGGGATACATGAACTGGCTCATTTCATGGTTCATAAGCAATGTTTTGAAGATGTAGCAAATTGAAACCCATCCTAGCCAGTATTAGTATCCAAGTCATCCGCAAATCTTCTCTCAATCAGATCACTGGTGCCAATAACTCTCTGAGAGAACTTGTCCAGCTGTATTAAAAGCCTTGAAGTATCCCCTGTTTACAGCATGTTGTTTGTTCTCCAAGGACATTAGGTTTAAGCCATAGCTATCCCAAACACACCTCTTTTAAATCTGATGCAAGAAGTATGCCAAGTTGTAGAGCCTAGTTACTGTCAAATAAATTAAATGGTACACTCCAGACATAATTTGCTTGCCTGAGAACCTGTTTCCTGGAGTACAAACATTTCTTAAAATTGATATTCTTAGGACCTAAATGTAAACTTCCTAAGTTAAGCATATTCCTTTATTGGCAAACTTGTTTTTGTGCTTAGATGGCACCTTCTTTTGCAAAGTGCTTTGTCAATTATTCTGCTAAATTATCTCTTGTGTGATATTTGGACATGTTTTGCAAATAGAATCTGTTTTGGGTTTCAAGCTGATGAGCCAGGTGAAAATGCAGAATCATCAGAAATATTGGGTGGCTTCCACAGAAATTTCATCTTTGTTTCCCCTTTCAAGTGTCTGCGTGATTTATGAATGTTTCCAAGTTTTTTCTTGTTTTTCTTGCAGTAATGTAAATTTTGGATCAACCGCACCTTAAGTATAGTTGATTCAGTGGAGCGCTATGCGTGTAGAATTTGCTCAGTAACAAAGATTAGAGTTTCAGATGCCCGGTCTTTTATTTTGGCCAATTTTCAGATGCCCTGTTTATCAAATGTAGATTTCCCCTAGACTGGATATTCTTAGCCAGATTGCCATTTGAGAAATGGGACGACATGTCCTTGGTTAAGGAAAAAGACAAAGTGCAGTATCTTTATAGCTAATCCGTTCATTAGACTTGTTGAGAGAAGTATCTTCTTGATCCTTATTGTGAAATACTAAACATATATGGTTCTTGGTCGAACAATTCTCCAATTTTAGCTCTTCAGTTGCATATATTTCAAGAGACTGATTAGACCATAAATTTTTCATGCTTTTGAGATAATTAGTACGCTTTGACAACTCATTACATACAGAAAAGATGGCCTTGAAATAATGTCTACGCAATCATAAAATAAATTTGGTTTCCTTCTCTGTTACGCTGTAACTTGAATGTCATTTCTCTTTGCCATTTTCCCCTCCTTATCCATTCATTTGCCGTTTAGACATTGTGTAGTCTATGATTTGTTTAAGGTATTATGGATAAATACTGAATGCTAATATTTGGATTTCAGCTCCAAAGCATCACAGGTCAGGTGTTACTCAGGCTTCTCGTTAGATGTGCATGCGTTGGTTCTTCCTGTTGAATCCTCCCATGGCTTTGCACAACTAGGTAAGACCTTTGGATTATGATTCTCGCTTCTCTGAACATCATGGATATCATGTATGGTGTTATGATGCAACTCTGCTGCATATTGAATGATTGGCAGTTACTTGTGCATAGAACAAGTGGGCTGCAGGGTGTGACCTTCTATAGTATAGCCTGTTAAAAGGGAATGGCACGGATTAGGGCACTGTGGCAATGTTTCTTGCCGTGGCAGTAGGATATGATGCTCATGCTAAGATTGAGTATACCTATAGCTACAGATTTCCTTGTATGATAGTAGTCAATCACAACAAGGACACTATAAAGGTCTTCAAGATGAAGTGAGACAACATCCTCGCTCTTCATTCCTGATTCTTGGTTTATTCTGATTATATTGTTCATTGTTCTTATTCCTATTAGTTAATCTCTTCATTTGACTGTAACCTAAGTCAAACTTGCAGTATAAGGTAGTTCCCATTCTTGAGGTGAACTCATCGCAAAATTACTTTTGAACTGTAGTTTTCTGACTCTTTGTATTCTACATATAAAGCGCAAATCTAGATGTGACATCATTGGTGCTGATTCTAGCATAATAAGATTCTTTCCCGTTTGTGTGTGATGACAGAAACAGTTAATTATTTTGTCTTAAGATCGTACAAAATTTAATAACACAGTGTGTTCAGGCATCCCTTTAAGTATAGAGACCCGTGTCAATATAATTGATGATGATTCGCATTCTTTTTCATGGTAAGAGGATGTAGTTAGACATCTAGCATCCCAGAAGTGTCTTCAAAATCCAGTGCAATTTGACTGACAATGCATGTGCCATTTGCTGCTTTTCCAATCACAGAATTTCATCAAGGGAGCTGTGAAAGGAAGCGTGATGCTTGTCCATATCAGTTTTTGCCCGGATGGTCATGTGTTTACCGAGGGTTGCAGTTGTGATTGGAAGTCTATTTCATGCTTTAACTTGCTTATCAGATTGTTAAGATAATTTACGGCATAAACTTTGTAGGCATCACTTTTTTACTGGGTTTTTGAACTGAGTTATTCTAGGTGTGCTATTGATGTGTCTGAACTCCAGAGTTCCGGACTATATCATGTTTCATCCCTAATGATGATAAAGAGGTCAATGATTTGCATGTGTTTCGTGTAGATCTCCTGGCAAAGAATTGCAATAACTGGACTTAAGGTTCCCGGTTATACCAATTATGTCGTAAATATTTGGAATTTACAATATTGATGAGTCAATTAATGGTTTGATTGTTGTTGACTTTGCCTAGCATAGTACTGTGAGAAAGTCTCCGTGATTTGATCGATCACGTGGCGACCATGATTGGTTGAGATAGTCATGCGATGGCTCCAAAAGTACATGAAAATCTCAATGTTTTGCTTGGTCAAGGGATAATTGGCAATTGCTTCTTCTCTATCTGTGCTATTTATTGTTCAATCCTGAAGTGATCTCTTTTCTTCTGGTAAAAAAATGTCGAAATTTGTGTGTTTCTTTAAGCTAGTAATGATTATGTTATTATCATGTCTAGTAAAACATAGAAAATACCAAACTAGTTGTCCGAAAGACCGTAGTCTAAAATGAACAGGAAGATGGTGATTTTGAACCATAATCCATTAGAACTTTTTATAAATGTGGGGCTTCTTTTCTATGTTGAATATCAATTCTACTCTGTTAATTTCATGTCGTGATATGATCTAGGTCGTGGGAATTGCGATCAGAAGTTTCAGAAATTTTTTGAATAAATTACCATGCGACCGAGTAGACAATTTTCAAATTGGATGTCAACTTCTGTTCATATGTCCAAATTGGCTTCATTTTCGTATTACCCACAGCAATGTCGGTCATTTTGCACCTTTAATTTCGTATTTCTGTTCCCATGTCCAAAATTCCTCGTAATTTTGCTAGTGTTAATGGAAGAAATACCTCATAATTGGACCGTCATTATGCATGAATAACTTTCGTGATTGTATTTTCTGATCTTAATGATGGTTTAATTGAGTGCAAATTCGAGTTAGTATGCATTTATACGAGGATGTATTTGACTGGCTTTTCAGTTATAGATCTATCTCTCAATAAATCAGAGACTCTATTTCGAATTAAATAATTTAATCAGGATGATTTTCAATGATTAATATTTAAGAAAATCAAAATAGAGCTTAATTAAAGCTCCAAAAGTGTCGAATTTGCTGTGTTTGAACGCCGGGTCTTCAACGGGTCACGATTGGGTAGCAAATTGCGTCAAGCGACCCGGACAGAGGTTGGAGAAGACTGTACGCACGCGCAACTGAAAGGTACCAGGGCCCATAGGGAAAATACCATTTCATTTTTATTTTACTCGAGAATTGCGAGTAAAGTGAACCCATATAGAGTGCATATTAGTCATTAATAAGTTCAAGAAAATAACAGTTCAAGTCAAAATTTTGCAGATTTTGTTCTTGATTCTTTATAATAACCTAAATACGTATTGGGAAAAGAGAATACTTGATGACGGCTAAAATTATGTCAAATCTTAAGATTTAATTTTTAGCTAGAACTTTTCCACTATAATTAATGTTGGCTTCGTCCATATTAAATTTTTCTAAAGATATAACTAAACAATATATATTTTGCATAAAAGGTGCACATATAGTGTTAATTAGAAATAACAATTTCTTAAATGAAAAATAATACGAAAAAAGAGATAGTACAATGTCAGTATATATAAGTTGAGATGACATTATGTCATCAGTTTACATCTTTGCCCACTGGATACGACAGTTGGGATCTACCTCAAGCAAACATACTGGGATTTTGATAGAAACTTCATATGAAAAAAAAGTTTGACCATCAAACTAAAGATGACATTAGTCTCTATATAGTAGTGATTTATAATTTTATTTTTTTCTATATATGTACAGTATACACAAATTTGGGGAGGATATATAAGCCAGATTGATGAAGTTTTATTAAAGTGCACCGAAATTCTACAAGCCCGTCAATTATAATCATGTGTTAATTTTTAAGAGGAAATTAAAGTTTTTGGATCTTGTTACTTGTTGGTAGATTCATGTAAACTTTAAAATGGAATATGAGTTCTTTTAAATATAAGCTTCATAGAAATGTTCCATCTAGGACCTTCATTTTTTCCATTTTGATAAAAGTTGTTTTTCGCATAAACAGATGGTGTCTACTTTGTAAAACATATACATGTTTGTTTTCTCTAAAAATGAATTCATAAGTTGAAACCAGCAGTTCTTGATATCGACAAATTATACGCCGGTAGTAGCCCGTTACTTAGCAAGCTCAAGTGTTATTATTTGCTTTTTAATTGAAATTGCCCTAAATCACGTAACGGGGGAGGATTTTCTCAAGGTTTGTCACCTTCCCTCACCGTTTTTGTCCTTGCTCTCTTACCAATTTGTTTATCGTGTTGAAGGAGGATGCAAGAGAGTAAAACCATATGAAATATAAGGACACAACATTGACCTAAGAGCTAGAAGAAGACAACCTACACAACATTAACCTAAGAGCTAGAAGAAGACAACCTCGAAAGTAATCACCGTTGAGTTAAACTAGCTCAATTTCTTCCTAACATAATACTAGGTTGTGGGGACATATAACCCGATGGTTCTCAAAACCTCATTGTTATCTCCAAATTGAAAACTGGTGGAAATTGTTGGAGCACTTAATGAAGCTGAGAATGTCTCTAGTTCCATCTTAGCTTTGTCATTGTCCACCGGCTCATCCGGTGGGTAAATAAGCGAATTCGGAGCCATTTGAAGTTTATTAATATCTCCTTCAAGCATTTCTAGAAGGCCGATGGTCAGGGTTTAACTCTATACACCAAAGTGTAACTACTGTCATCATTTTTTATCACCCTCTTTTCCTCTACTACGACTTACTTCCCTTTTAGCTCAATTTCCTTCGTTGACTTGGTCGTATACCCACAATGAAAAATAAATTTGGTTTGAGTGTTCCATATTGGCATTTACATTCTTCCTTCTACCTGCCATTTTCATGAGCAACATCCCAAAGCAATAGAGGTTAGATATATAAGATACACCACCAATTATTTGTAGAATAACTCGACCGCCATATATCACAAGGTTCCTCTTGCAGCAATTAATGAGACTATGCTATTATCAATGGGATAAAGTTTCGCGAGTCCAAAGTCATACACTTTCAGAGTGAAATCTTGTCTAAAAGAATGATGTGAGGCTTGATATCAAAGTATAGTATTTGCATGTCACACCCCAAATGTAAGTATTCAATCCCACTTGCCACCCCAAGAGTGTTCTTATATATTTTCATGTAAACAAGAAACTTATGATGTCCTTATCCAAGGATCCATTTGACATGAGATCATATACGAGAGCCTGTTTCGAGCCTTCAAAGCAAAAACTGATGAGTTACACTATATTAACATGGTGAATTCTTTCAATAGTAGCCACTTCACTGATACATCTTGGCCATGGGCCTTTGACTGCTTTAAAATCTTTATGGCCACTTCACTTCTAAGCATTCCTTTTTACATGGAACCATACCCCCCTTCACACCTAGTTTGTGCTTAAAATTTTTAGTGATCTTCTTAATATTTGAGTAATACCTTGTGGGCAAAAAGTTGTGATGAGCTTGCCAAAATTCTTAAATGTTCTTGTCCATGGCTAAGTACCTTCTTCAGTACTTGTAAATTAGATATATCAAGACAAATGGTGTTTCGATTACAAACTTCTCTACACAAAAAAGCACTGAAGAAAATTTTGATAGGTTAGAATTTTTTTTTCAAAATTTTTGTAAGAATAAATCATTGCAGCTTTCCTAATAGTATTGTAAAATCCCAAGTAGTCAAAAAGTGCAACATCATCTAGGATACTTGTGGAAAAAATGAAAGATGTGAAAAGGAATTAAAGGAAAAGAAGAATGAAAAACAAAAACTCACGAGGAAACGAGTGGTAGCAATCTACTTTGTACATGAATTGTCCAAAAGAAGATGAGAAGTTGGATGCATGCATTTGCAAATAAATGGAAATAATAAGCTTCGTTTTAACTCCTTTTGAATTATTATTAAAGTGACTAATTAAGGAACTAATTAAGAATTCTAAATTCTATGCCAACAAAAAAACTAGTGACGTGGCTGCCCACACAATAGTCCTTTTTTTTTCATTGGGAGTTCTAGCCCTTCTTTGGAAAGGAGATACAATCTAGGCACATGTATGTCTACAGCTTATGATGGATCTGTTTTGGGATGATTTCAAATGTCATTTTTATTTTATTTTATCGGGAATCTTGCAACTCATAGAATTTAATTTTCATATGTAATGCCAAGCTCCCAAAACCTTTCAAAACACACAAATGTTGACGTGCACTAACGTGAATATTTTGTCATTATTTTCATGGATTTCAAATATTTCTGTAATTTTTGAGTTTTGAAGAGAAAGTATCAAGTGAAAGTGTGTGCAGAATCACGAAAAATTGCGGTTAATTATCATTGCCAACCGATGCTTACCGCCCTCGTAGTATCAGGATCCGCAAACCTGACCTCCATAGATCCTACTGAAATCATAGGAGGAATAGTGTCACGCCCCAAACCCCGACGGGCTCGCGATACCCCTCCGAAGGTCGTATTGAACGCGACGTCCCAGGACGCGTCGCCGACCAAAACGAACTACGCAAGAGGAAGCGAAATAAAACAATCCAGACAACTAACATGATGACAAAAGGATAGCACGAAACAAATAATTACATAACATCATAAAGCAGTTACTATTACAAAACGATAACCCAGGCAACCAATTTGAAACCACGATTTTCAAAAGGGGGCGGTGGTTGACAAGTTTATCTCCTCTACAAAAAGGTACTCAAAAGACAGGGTAATTTGATCAATCCCTGTGGTACTCTGGCGGCATCTCCGAATCGATCACGGTCGCGGATCTGAAAATGGTTATATAATAACCGTGAGAACGAGTCTCAATAAGCAGCACCCTAAACCCCACGTAGGCCAATGCGTACCCAGACAAGTTTTTAACATGCAATCTAACCGATAATATATATATAATTCACATCAATAGACTTACCTCGCCATCCAATCACATGCCCACACTGCACATTAGTCAAATCATGATAATGAAATAATATCCCAATAATAAAACACAATCATTCGAGCGCCATCCACACTCGCACCCAACCAATCCAACCAAACATCCACACGTACCATCAATCAATCCAATCGAACATCCACACGTACTTTAAGCCAATCCAACCGATCACATTTCGCACACGTGCCCAACCAACCATCTCACGACCCGCGCCACTGCGCCTCAGGTCCATTCTCACGGCCCGTGCCAATGCACCTCAGGCTCAGCCCTCCGATCAACCCGGACTCTGTCCCTCACTGGACATCTTGCACTTTCTCACGACCCGTGTAAACATGCCTCAGGTCTGACTTTCCTTTCACGGACCACCGTCAACACGTCTCAAGTCCGTTCTCACATGCATACAAGCCACACAATTCAATCAATTCCCAATGACCGCCGTCAACACGTCCCAGGTCAAACTTTCCTTTCACGGACCACCGTCAACATGTCTCAAGTCCATTTTCACAGGCATACAAGCCACACAATTCAATCAATTTCCAATGACCGCCGTCAACACGTCCCAGGTCAAACTTTCCTTTCATGGACCACCGTCAACACGTCTCAAGTCCATTCTCACAGTCATACATGCCAGACAAATCAATTCACCATTCTCACACGTCATACTAACCAAATTCCAATCACGAGTTCACCAAAGAAGCCCACCAATCCGACATTCAAGTCGGCCACATTTAAACGTCAATATCACTCACAATCACCACAATACACAAGCCATTAAATCCATCTCAATCAGCCACTAATTATGCCACAATATCGTCATAATTTAATCTACCAACGAACCACATTCAAATCTTGATTCTATCCCAAGATTAGCCACTAAACATGCCACAAATCACCCCAATCCATTCCACCAATTAATCACATTTATAAATTGGCCCGAACCCAAATTTATCCACTAATCCGGTACTAATTACACCCTAAACAAGTCTAAAATTACCCATTATACTAAGTAGGGATTAGGAAGTCACTTACTAGGTTTTGGCCCGGAGAAAATCTACTCGGGCCTAAAATGGCCCGGGTGAACAGTGCTGGGCTAGGCACAGGCGCGGGCCAAACGAGCGCGCTGACCGGCCAACACGGGCGCGGTGGCCGAACGGTGCGCTTGGCGCACGGGCGCTGTGGCCGAGCGAAGCGCCTGGGGTGCACGGGCGAGCGAGACGGGCGACGCGCCTGGCTGGACGAGCGAGGCACCGGGCAGTGGCTTGGGCTAAGCGGGCAACGGCTCGGCCACGGCCTGGGGTGACTTGGGCCGCGGTTTGGGTTGGGCTGGTTGGCGAGCCGGCCTGGCAAAGCCGAGGGAGGCGGGTTGGCCGCGAGCTGCGGCGGCCACGGTGCGAAGGAAGGCTGGGGCGGTGGCGGCGACGGCCAAGCGCGGCTAGACAGGCGCGGCGCGACGGGCAACGGCGGCGAGCTCGCTGCTGCGTGCGCGAAGGAAGAGGGAAAGCGGCTGGCGAGGCGACGGCGTCAGGCGAGCGGCCGGACGGATGGTGCAGCGCGGCGGTCGGGCGCGGCGAGCGGCGATCGGGCGAGCAGAAAAGAAGCAGGAGCAGAACCAGTCGGACCAAGGAGGAAGAAGGAAGAAGAAGAGAAAAAGAAAGAAGAAGAAAAGAAAGAAAGGAGGAGAGAGAGGGAGAGTGGACGTGCATGGGGCAGAGAGGGGGGGACGCGCGGGCAGGGGGGAAGGGATGGGCGCAGAGGGGAGAGAGAAAAATAATCATGATCCAACTGTCACGATTTGAACCCGAAAACGATCCAACGGTCCACAAAAATCCTAATTAATTATTTAGGAAAAAGGGCCAAAAGAAATAACTCAAAACACACTACGAGAGAGATCTACTAGTCCAAATCCGCACCTGGTCGAAATTTCACTTTTCACGTATCGCGGGCAATATCGACGCTGGCCACTATAATATCGACATCGTCCAATTAAATTCGTCCCGGGACTCCGAGAAATTCGACACCAAAGTTTGGGCTCTAAATAACGGCCAAATTCGATCGAGTGCGATTCTAGCGAAATCTCTAATTAAAAAAATAATAATAACCCAAGAGTGATCAGTTCCGAGCGAGATTTTATTATAAGCGCACTGACGAATTACACGTTTTATAAATCTCAAAAATGGGCCGAAATTCGGAATGTCACAACTCTTCCCCCCTTACAAAAATTTCGTCCTCGAAATTTACAATCCAACCCAACTATTCAAATAAATGGGGGTATTGGTGTTGCATCAACTCTTCGCTTTCCCACGTTGCACCTTCGGTTCCATGGTACTCCCAAATTACTTTGACCATCGGAATTGTCTTGTTCCGCAGCACTCGTTCCATTTTATCATCGATCCTTACTAGCCTTTCCACGTACGACACTCTGTCGTCCACGTCTATTTCTTCATAATTCAGCACGTGGGTCGGGTCCGGTTCATACTTCCTTAGCATAGACACATGGAATACATTATGCTCTTGAGACAAATTTGGCGATAGCGCGAGACGATAGGCCAAGGTGCCGATTCTCTCTAAGACCTCAAATGGGCCTACGTACCTCAGGCTCGACTTTCCTTTCTTGCCGAACCGTGATAATCCTCTCATAGGCGATACTTTGAGGAAAACGTAGTCCCCCACTTGAAATTCCAAAGGTCTACGTCTCCGGTCTGAATAATTCTTTTGGCAGCTCTGAGCGGTCTTAAGCCTATCCCGAATCACATTGATTGTTTCGACTGACTACTGAACCAACTCGGGACCCGTGATGCTCCTCTCACCAACTTCGTCCCAACAAACCGGTGTTCTGCAAGCTCTGCCGTATAGTGCTTCGAATGGTACCATTCTGATACTCTGCTGGTAGCTATTGTTGTAGGCAAATTCAACCAAATGCAGCTGTTCCTCCTAACCACCCTTAAAATCCAAAACACATGCTCGCAGCATGTCTTCCAAAGTCTGAATCGTCCTTTCAGACTGGCCATCCGTCTGGAGACCATAGGCCGTGCTAAACTGTAACTTCGTTCCTCATGCCGTATGAAGACTTTTCCAAAAAGCAGCAGTGAATTTAGGATCACGGTCTGAAGTGATCGTCACTGGCACTCCGTGCAGACGGACTATTTGACGCACGTAAATCTCGGCATACCTTTCCAAGGCAAAGTCCTTTCGCACTAGCAGAAGATGTGCTGATTTTGTCAATCGATCAACTATCACCCAAATTGAATCGTGACCCTTCTGACTTCTCGGTAATCCCATTACAAAGTTCATCGTGATGTGTTCCCATTCCCACTCGGGAATTTCCAATGGCTGCAACATTCCACCCAATTTGCAATGTTACGCCTTCACTTGCTGACATGTTAAACACTTGGCCACGTGCTTGGCTACGTCTACTTTCATGCCGTTCCACCAATAATGTTGTCGCAAGTTTTGATATATTTTCGTACTACCCGGGTGAATACTGTAATTGCTACGGTGTGCTTCATACAAAATCCCTTCCTTCAGTTCTGCATCACCGGGTACACATAACCGACCACGGAACTTCAGAATCCCATCCTCGGATACCTGAAAATCCGATTTCCTTTTTGTGGCATCCATACCCAAAATCTTCTGAATCTCCGGGTCCGTCGATTGTAAAGCCTTAATCTTAGTCCGTATTTCCGGTTCAATCTTCAATGCTGCAAGCAGACTCGAGACATGAGTCATTTCAAACTTAAATTCCGAATCCCGAACTCCCTCCAACAGAGTCCACTCCTTGACCATCATATGCGCGATGCTCGATTTCCGGCTCAGTGCATCCGCTACTTTATTAGCTTTTCCAAGATGATACATAATCTCGTAGTCGTAGTCCTTAAAGAGTTCCATCCAACAACGCTGTCTCATGTTCACTTCCTTTTAGGAGAACAAGTACCTTAAGCTTTGATGGTCCGTATAAATCTGAAATTTCTCCCCACACAGGTAGTGTCTCCAAATCTTAAGAGCGAAAATAATCGTGGCCAATTCTAAGTCGTGCGTCGGATAATTCTGCTCATGTGGCCTCAATTGACGCGATGCGTATGCCACTACTCTTCAGTATTGCATTAGCACACATCCCAATCCCCTCAACGACGCATCACTGTAAATTTCATATCCACCCGGTCCTGACGGGATCGTCAACACTGGCGTGGTCGTCAACCTCTGTTTCAATTCTTGGAAGCTCCTTTCGCACTTATCCGTCCATTCAAACCTCGTCTCCATTTTTAATAACCGCGTCAACGGCGTCGCTAATACCGAAAACCTTTCCACGAAACGTCTATAATAACCTGCTAGACCCAAGAAGCTCCAAACCTCGGTTACTATTGTCGGCCTCGGCCAATTCGTGACGGCTTCAATCTTTGTCGGGTCCATCGCAATCCCTTCCCCGGATATCACATGTCCTAAGAACGCCACTCGATGAAGCTAGAATTCGCACTTACTGAACTTAGCGTAGAGTGCATGTTCCCTCAAGGTCTATAGAACCTTTTCCAAATGTACCTCATGCTCGGCGGAACTCTTTGAATACACCAGAATATCGTCTATGCACACGATCACAAACTAATCCAGAAACTCCTTGAATACCCGATTCATTAAATCCATAAGGGCTGCGGGGGCGTTCGTCAGTCCAAACGGCATCACCGTAAACTCATAGTGTCCATACCTCGTCCTAACTGCCGACTTCAGCACGTCCTCCTTCTTGATCCTCAATTGGTGATAGCCAGTCCTAAAATCGATCTTGGAAAACACTGACACCCCTTGAAACTGATCAAACAGGTCATCAATCCTTGGCAACGGGTACTCATTCTTAATGGTCACCTAATTCAACTGTCCGTAGTCGATGCACAACCTCAAGGACCCGTCCTTTTTCCTCACGAATAAAATCGGCGCTCCCCATGGAGACGCACTCGGACGAATGAAGCCTTTATCCAATAACTCCTGCATTTGGACCTTCAATTCTTTCAATTCTGATAGTGGCATCCTAAAGGGTACTTTCGAGGTCGGTTCCGTCCTTAGGGCCGACTCAACCACAAACTCCATTTCACTATCAGGTGGCAATCCCGGCAATTCCTGAGGAAAGACATCGGGAAGGTTACACACCTCGGCTATGTCCTTTAGCCTTGGTTCCTCAACCAACTAATCAACCACAAAATAATTATCTTCCTATACCTCAAAGACAAAACTCAATCCATCCAATTTCAATCCACAGTCTCCCAAAACAAATTACCCCAGTTCTTTACAGAATCCGAAATTTCCAAGCAACACACATCCTTCCCAACCCGTCCAAAAATGTCATCAGTAATTCAGAAATCCTCAAACTGATTGCGCCTATTCACCATAAGTGGTTATAAGTCTTACATGACCATTCAAGTTATAATTTCAAAATCCTCTCTTATTGCACCCACTATCATCACATAACGCATCCAGACTTTCAAAACAAATCCTCTGATTCCTTCCCAACCACCGCGTACATCTTTCCTTGTGCTTGCGGTTAATCTGGTTAATCCGCGGGGCAACTCTCGCTTAATGTCCGACTTGCGGTTGTTGTTGCTGTATTAACGGTCTAGCTTATCAATTCGGGTAGTTTCTCACTTGGTGACCATGTTGGCCACATCCAAAATACGCTCTAGGTCCACCTGGGCAGGGGCCATTCCTGTGCCTCTTTCCATAAGACCGACATGCGGTATTGGAGTAGTAATTCGGCGTTCCAAAGGTCTTTCTTACTAGAGGGACAAATCTCCGATTTTCTGTCATAGGCTTCTTTCCAAAGTTCCTATTATCCCTAGCCGGCGCGTACCGCGATCCAGAAGTGGCAGCCCTTTCACTCGTATCCGTGTCAACCATCGAGCTTTCTCATACAACTCATTGTAATCCCTTAAGACTCAAAAGTACTAACTGATTGCGGAATTCCGGTTCCAATCCATCCCGAAACCTCCTTGTCCTATCCACATGGTCCTTGACCATCCTTGGTGCATACTTAGGCAACCTTACAAACTCAATCTCGTACTGATCGACTGACATCCGATT